TTTAAAGGAGCCCAGTCCGGCAGGGAGCAGGCCAGCAGTGCCTCGCTGGGAATGAGCCTGACAGCAAGCTGTGCATTCACAGCACACATGGGACAGCCAAGCTCCTGAGAATGACAGTGACACTTCCTCATTAGGGATTAATGCTGCCCTGGGTACATTTTAAAGGGGAGGACAGAGGTAGTAAGAACTAGTGAGATTATTTATCAGTTACTGGAGGGAGGGCCCTAGCTCCAAAACCCTGCCGTTATGCATAACTGACACAAAAATCTCCCACTACTAAACCCTTTCTGATAAAAAGGGGGGGGGAAGAGGAAACAGTATTTAATTCACTTATTCTGTAAATAATACCTAGTAATAGTGTCAGTGTAAAGTAACAAAGGGCATTAATTCAGTCATTTTTAGGGTACCATAGTATACAGACATCACACAAGAAGGACGTGCAGCATGAAGTGGCATAGGTGGTGGTGGCTGAATTTTTTGTTATTTGTGGGGATTGGTTTGATTACTTTGTTGTTGTTGTTGTTGTTGTTATTTGAGGCCATATGTTTTTGGTTTTTTTTAAACTTCAGTGGCTCCCTTCAGTCTTACAGTGGTGGGGGTAAGTCCCACCTTTCTGAAAGACAGTCAAAGCAAATGAATGCACGGTATAAAACTAATTCAGAGTTTCATGTGTTGGTCATATTTTTACCATTTATTTTGCCATTTTAAAAAATTTTCACATATCAATCAAAGAGGTGACAGAATGTTTGTTAAAAGTGGAAATCTTACACTGGGTTAAACCACAGGCAAAGGAATAATCTTTACCTGAATGATACTATGTACATTGAGGTGAACCCAAAAGTATCAGACAGCAAGTGGCCTTGCTTTATATAGGTATATTCCCTCTAAACAAGATGTTCCATGTTCTCAAACTGATTTACAAGCCACACAAAACTACTGCTCACCCACAATTTCAACACAACTGCTTACAAACGAGCCAGGAAACGTTCTGTGTCAGCACACCACAGAAGGCAGTGTGGCTAAAACAAAAGCAGCCAGCCAAACAGCAGGATATATAAACCAGGGGCAGAACATACTTGCTCTGACTGGAACTCACCACAACGTGGAAAAACCATCTTCTGCTTACAGCCCTGCTGCCCACAAACAACCAAAAAGCAAGCATGCAGCAACCACGTTCTCTCTTCTTCATGTCAGCTTATAAATACTGCAAAGCAACTATGAATTTTTATTCTTCCAAGACTAAAAAAAAGACTTCCAAGCAAGACTTCCAAGGCAACTTGCTGTTGTGAAAGGCTAATGTATTTTGTACAGATCTAAAGATGGATTTGTGGGTGTCAAACAACCCATCTGGTTTCTAAAACTGAATAAAACTTGTTCACTGTGGTTCATATTAATAGCAAAACATTGTATTTGACTTTGAACTAGACCCATAGGCAATAACACAGACAACATCTGCAACACTGCTGGCATCGTGGCACAACATTCTGTGTACAACTTCAGCCATCAGTTACAACATCATGTCATCTAGCCCATCCTCCATAAACTTCTTGTAAATTGCCATAAACTTTGCAACAAATGCTTCCAGATGATAAATGGCTTTGCTGCCCAGTTGCAAGCGGTGTTCATAGAAGGCTGCCATCTGTGCAACTTCTCCTTTCAACTGTCCATCACAGTTATTTAGAAGTTCTGTCAGGAGGCCCTAAAAGGGGAAAAAACAACACAGTACTTGAAAAATTATACATGCCAATAACCTCATTTCTCTGAAAATTGCCAAGTTATGACCATGAATTCAACAGAAAAGATATTCAAGAATCATTATACCACTTATTTGACAGAACTAGATTCATGGAACCATATTTCTTTAGAACTTTCTTTCAAGATAAATTCCTCATGTCATAATAGATGTTACTTATTATGTTCTTAGATGGGAAAAATCATATACTGGAACTACTTATGCCTTAATAAAGAAAATAAATGAACCTCATCTCCAAATACTGTAACAACTACTGCATACAGGTACATGGCCCTGGGGAGAATCTTTACCAAGATAGTAAGTTTATTAAAATCACTTACTTCTTATCTTGACAGCATCAAGGACAAAGAGAAACAAGACCTCTCCTTGTTATTTATTATTATTTAAAATTCATGTATATCCATGTGCAGACACATGATACTTTACAACAATACTTCAGTCACATCAAAATCAAAAATGCATTATTTTAGACCTGAGACAGCAAAAAACTCACTGAAATCCACCTCCATTGAAACAGTCAAGATTAAGTAAGAAGCATTTCTAGACCGTTTCAAGTTTATGGAGAGGGATTGGGTAGAGAATCCATCTCTGTCTTGACCACAACAGTCCTCAAGCAGGGCAGGGCAGGATCTAATAACCTACCATAAGACAGGAGGATTAAACTAACTGGACTTTTGGTCTAACAACCAAAACTGTCAGAAAGCAGAAATCAATTATTGTGAAAAGAAACAATATCTTGTAATTATGTCCTATGTCAAAGTCCACCTAGAGTAAGTTGCAAACATTAGCTTTAATCTTTGTTCTGCTCAAGTTGTCTTCAGCATCCTTTCATCCTGTCTAAAATAAAAACATGCACATCTCATTTGCTTGTTACTACCCCTCCCAAGAGGACTTTATCTTTGCAGAGGCCTGATGGTCCAACATCCTTCTGCAGACTTCTCCAATAGGACACAGCAAGTACTGAGCTTATAAAAACAAAACTTTTACAGAAGAAAACAAACCATATGAAAAGTAGCCCATAAAATATGCCTATGCTTCAATACAGAAGCTGGCTTGAGAAGTCTTCAGAGGAACAAAGCAGGTCCTCCTTTGTTCTAACTCAGCTATGATGCTGCTGTTCTGTGGTCACAGAACAACTTTTAGTAAACTATTCCACAGAGATGTGAACAAGGAAGCCTGCAACAAAAGTAAACTACACATTTATGTTTGCTGAATTAGACAACAGAATCTTCCTGCCCCCAAAAATCTACAAAACTCAAAACCGTCATGAGTAAATATATTTAGGCACAAACCTAACCAAATGGTCTAGTATGTCAACAGAGGACCATGACAAGTGAATGCTATGCATCAGAGTTTGAAGAACAAACTCTTTAATTAATGCTTCATAGCAATTAGCTGGATTATTTTGGTGACTCCAGTGGAAAGAAACACAAGAAAGAAGTATCTTTTGGTCAGTCGTGTTCATTTGTAAAGGACACAGCTTTTCATCAACATTTGAATAATCTGTGATGTTTTGGTGTGTTGCATTTTCTTTAATCTTAAATTGAGACTGCCATAGCATTAATATTTATAACACATTAAGAGCTTGATAGTTAAATTACCTTCATTATAATCTCAGGTGGAATGCAGTGTGTCAGGAGCTCATAAAGCCGTCCACGGACCTCTAAAAGCCTGTTGGAAAGACACCACAAAATATCAGGAGTATGTCTCCAAAGCATGCTAATGTGTTTCCACCACATTTTTTTCTGTTTCTTATTTTGTGTGTTATTTTGACCTCACTCCAAAGCATTGCACAAGTCAGTTAGTTTCAATTCAAATGCCCATACCACCTTTTATTCAAAGCAGTAAGTTACACGTACTCTAGCTACAATGGTCTCGGTCACCTAGAAGCTACAGGGCAATTAGAATTTGCCTCAGGCTTGTCTCCCTTTAATTCCTCTTCATATCTAAATTATTATTCGTGCTTAAGATTATTCAGAAGACACCATAAAATTGATTAGAGCCACAAGAGTCAAACTGTTATTCTGCCTTCACTGTTTACGAGAGAGGGTAAGGTGATTAGGTGGGAGAAAGTGAGAGTTCTCAAATCTCAACTTTTGGTATCAGGTCAGAGGCTACAAGTATTTAAATGAAATACAAGAGTAAGTGACATCTCATGTAATATATGGAACAGACTAAAAAGATCAGGCTGTGTATATGACACAGAGATGGATAAAGGAAGGATCTCCTAACCTGCTTTAAAAAAAGCAATGATTTCTCATTTGCAGTTCTTTCACAAAGGTGTGTTATGCTGAAGATGGAGAAATAGAAGCTTTAACATAAAAACACCCCACCTAAACAACACTCCTTCCCCCCCAAAGCAGAAAGACAGCACAACATGCAACAAATAAGCTTATGCTCACTTTTGATTACTACAGCAGAGAAAACAATTTTTTTCAGTTCCTGAAGCTCATTCAGCCTCCCCTGGTAATTTTAAGCTCACTTCCTCTGACTGCAAAGTATCAGCTCCAGCAAAAATGCCAGAAAATTACATATAACTGAAGACAACACATTTTTAAATATAACATTTTTTTCAGCAGTTGTATTCACCTACCTTTGTGGAGTCTGTTGACCGACAATAGCATTTGCAGTTTCTCTCAAATAAACTTCCCAGTCCATCTCAGGAATGTCTTGATCAGCAGTAAAAGGATACCTATATAATAGTTTTTAAAAAAAAAATTAAAATCAAAGCAGGCTGTCACCTATTTTAACATGGCCTCAGAAGTAAGTTAATTTTTGTGTCCAAGAGTATAATTTACATTCATTTTTAGCAGTGACTTACTGTTGTACTCTGCAGGACTCACACATCAGCAGTGCCTTCCGAAGGTTCCTGCCAGATTTCTCTGCAATCCTTTGAGCCAGCTCCTGAGGAAGAGTCAGGCCTTCCTTCTTACACACGCTGGACAAGACATGGCAGATCTGGATGGAAAACAGATCACAGGGAGTGCAACCCTCAGCAAGCAGTTCAGCACCCACAGACCCTCCCCTCTGAAACACCTCCAGACCAGAGATGGGCCAGTCTTTCAGAAGACATGCTTGACATGTCACCCACCACACAGAAAAACAAGCCCACAGGAAGAACTTATCTAGTAACAAGTTTTTAATAACTTAGTTTTGATTTTCTTCCAACATACATCTTCAATGCTGGGAGCAGGCACTCGTACAGCCAGGCATCTGCTTTGAATAGGTCCTATAATTTTGGACATGGAGTTGCAGCACAGGATCAGCCTGCAGGTCGCCATGTACTTCTCCATGGTCCTTCGCAAAGCGTGCTGAGCATCTTTAGTGAGTTTGTCCACCTCTGTTAACAGCACCACTGAAAAAGGATTAAAAATGCTGGGGTTTATTTGGTTGGGGTTTTTTTGGTTGTTTTGGTTGTTGTTTTTTTTTTTTAATTTATTTTAATTTTTTTTTTTATTAGTATCAAATCTTTCTAAAAAAAATTAGTACTTTCACATATAAGCAAGAATACCAAAACACATGATTCAAGCAGAAAAAGGCAACATGGTTCCACAGACAGGAAAATAAGGTTTAAAACAACCTGCATGCCCTTTTGACTGTATGATCTTCTGCTCCTTCATACCCTATATTTATGCCCTGGAAGGTCAATTTCTTGAGAGCAGGGCCTGCAACACTTCAGTGCCAAAAAAATAATCCAGGCAGGTGTAGAAGCTTTCAGTTTGATAATTAATACAGAAACTTTTTAAGACTTTATGGCATAAGGGCACATCAAAAAGCAAAAATTTCTTGAAGACTCCGTTCCATACTTTTATATATTTAAACCCAGTGTCTTAGCTTAAAGGAGCTGCCTTGTTATTGTAGCTGCAGTGCTTTTCCATGGTATTTTAAAGAAAAAAATAAAAACTTATTTCAAAAATGCTTCAGAACAATCAGGAGTCACCTAATATGAAGCAGCTAACCCAAGCAGCTACTCTGTGCAGGTTCCTGCATAGGCAACTAACAGATGGCTCATGTCAGTGCTCTGAATGGTTGGGTGAGAACAGCCTGGAGAAACAAGTCAGCCCATTACTCTTCTCCCACCTCCCTTCTGGTGATGCACGTGGCCTGAGGAGACCAGCCAGCTTACCAGGTACTCTGAGGTTCAAGGTATGACTGCAGCTGTAAGGATAAACACAACAACAACTAGTAGAGCAAATCAGTGCCTACCAGCTTAGGTGAAATAGTGTTTTGGGTGAACAGTGAGGGAAATGAGAAAGTACTAAATCCATGACCATTTTCAACTAAACTCTGCTCTGTCTGTCATTACTTCCTCTCTCCTGTAATCTCTTGTTATACAGTTGGTTATACAGATATCTCCTCCTCCAAAACACTACAAATAATCAGCTAACTCCTGACACAGCACTGTTTGCCATAAGGTTATCCTGCCCCTCAGCTCAATATTAAGCCTCAGTGGCTCTCAACTCAAATGCTACTGTAGATCATTAAACTCAGTTACAGTGCATTTCAATGACAGCCATGTGAAAAAGCAGGAATCTGAGCTCCCTCTGCCCAGCCACAGTCATTCAGCCACACCCTGTCCTCCTAAGAAACAACACAAGAGACAACGGAGCGTTTAAGCACTCAAGATACTTCCACAGAGGAATTAAAATGGGAATCTGTTTAATCTGGGAAAGGTTCACATGCCCTCATGCAATATACAGGTACAAACAAAACAGTCAGCTAAAATCTCTGAAAAACAAGTTTACAAATAACTTTGACTGGTTTTAACTGCTTTTACTCACCTTTAAAATCTCGTTGAGTACTTGTCTCAAGTTGTTGGGATTGTGCTACTGTCTTCAAGAGTTCCTGAATTACTACACGGTCACTGTTTCCTGCATCACTGTACCAAGAGTTTGAATAAAACTTGGTTTAAAACAACTTTAAATTGCATATAAAATACATCCTCTTGGCCAAGTGACTGAACGAGAATGCCAAAAGGATTCAGAAGCTGTTGAGGTTAGCACTGCACTCAACACACACACTTTGTTGAAAGTTACCTTCCCAATAACAAAAACAACACAAAGCTTACGCAGGCACAGCTGGATTAGTAGCACTGTATTGTGAAATGGTGAAGCCAGTGTCAAATGCTTCATTAACTTATTAAAGCAGAACTTATTTTTCTGATATGACAAATATAAACTTTTGTTCCCTACAATTTGGGCAAAGACAAACAATGTGAACATTTTTACCCATTATCAGAAGAAAAATGAAGTACAAACACATAATAAGATTAATGACTCAAAGCACTGCAGTAAATGTGTAGCTCTTTCCCTATGCAAAGTAGATGTCATTCTGTGAACAACCTACAGTCTTAATGTACTTGAGCAGCAGATGCACTGAAGTTACAAAGAGCTGCTAGTGGAAGAGTGATACTGTGATACCATCACAGCTCAGGTGGTTGACTTTTCTCCTCTTGGAAGGCAGGAAAACACCAGGAAATCCCAGCTCCCCTCCTGCCTCTTCTCACTGTCCACTACAGCAGCACTGTGCAGCCTTCTCAGTCCCCACCTTAGGAGCTCAGCTACTCTGACTCAGATTTGACAACCACTGGGGACTGACTTGCAACCTAGACTACTGAAAAAGCAAAGAAAAAGAGAGGAAAAAACCTCACACTCTTTAGCATCCCCAGACTGTTGCCTTGGCAGAAGCAGAGGTAGCTCTGCAATATTTCACTGGCAAGCAAAAGAAAAAGCATTTGCCTGTCCTGTTCTAGTCACCATTCAAGCAGACCCTCCCTACTCTTGCCAAGGAGAATGCAGCAGAAATACAGAAGCATACAAACTCAACAGTTCACAATCTGCTGAATAGGCTGCGCTGGCTTTGACTGCAGAGATCTGTCCTTCAGCAAGGGAGCAGAGCTTTAGTTACAGCACAAAAAAAACAACAAGCAACATGAAACAAGCCAGTTCTACTTACAAGATAGGACAGTTTTTTGGAAGCAGAAACTCATTAAAATAGTTTCCTAACATTTAAAGATAAATTATTCTCTGCAGTAACAGATAACCCAGAGTTCTAAAAGTTCCTGGTGAAAAATCATCCCTTGATATTATGTGACCACACCAAACATTCCAAGAAAACAATGAAGAAAATCAGTTACCACACAGACATTTCATTTGCATTGTTCCTCGTTCTTCACTGCCCACTTCCACAGAACCCATTTTAAAGCATCTACCCAAGCTAGTCAAGGGACCAACGGACAACACTTTGGAATTCAGATAATATCCTCGTTTTGGAGGAAAAAGAACAGTTCTATCTAATAAAGTTCCACAATATGTTCATTGTCTGCAGAGTCCTCCTTAGAAGTTCATTTCCTTTCCCTGTTAGCCATTTATCATGTCCCAAGTTACTCAAGATGCACAATGTGATTTCACAGTATTACAATTCAAGCAAGCTTCACAGACTATAGCACAGCACACACAGGTTCCCTGCCTGGTCAGACACCAACATGACAGTTGCTTGACCACTTACAGCTTATGAATCAATATAGATTTAAAGTAAAATACACTTATTTTACATGTTTCAAACTAAAAGTGCTCTATGGAGAGTAATAGAAGTGTTAGTGTTATTAGGTTATCAGAGCAGAGGATTGAATGGTCACACATTTATATCACCAAAACGACATACCCCAACAGTTAATTACAAATAAAAGTTTCAACTTTAATTATTTGGGTCTGTAATAGAATGCCAATAGATATTCACTGATCAATACACAGCCATTAGCTGCAGAATGAGCTTTTGAAGGAGACATTGTACATGAGAAGAGCTTCTAAAACTCAGAGGAAGATGAAAAAAGGTTCAGCAATAAGCACAAAGCTCCAAGTTACTTCAGGATACACTTTGCCTTGCAATTGCAATCCAGACAACAAAGCTAACCTAACCAGAGCCCCCCAGTGCACAGTGACATTTACACTCATGATTTGAAGCAACATTAAAGGGTTTCAGGTACACACAAGTATTTACTTTGGTAAAGTGAACTATCACTGGCAATTTCACAGCTGCCAGAGAAGACACACAGTAAACCACTACAGCTCCTGTCATTGAAATCAACATCTGACCTGACTCATGACAGGATTACCACTGTTTTGTGGTGATGTTCTTTCCTGTGCTCCAAACTCCTTACTGGAAGAGTTACTGGGTAGACCCCACTTTCAAATCACTTTATTTTTGTACTTGTGAGACAGCTAACAATATGGGAGTGTTGGTTCCAATAAAAGCTCTCCACTTCAACTTAAATGGTTAAATCTACAAATCCAGAATTGCTTGCTACCCACTCCTCAACATCAGCACACTCATGTGTCCAGTTAAGCAGACCATTACTGTCTTTAGCATACAGCAACTGAAATTTTCATCCATTTAGAACTCTTCAATTAAAAATCCTCTCCCTGCTCCCATTTGTAGTTCAAGCCCATAAACCATTATCTAATTTTCTCAGGCAACAAACTGGGCAATCAGGCCCTTATATATCCAGGCTGAAACCACTTACAGTATGACCAGTGGCTCATATTTGAAGTGGAACATTTTTACTGTACACTTACCTTGGGTTAACTTCAAGGTGATAATTACTTGCAATGGTGCTAATCTCAATTTTCTTTTTAGAAGGTGCCTGTGTAGAAAGCAAGCATATTAAATTTCAGAAAGGGTGTTCTAAAAATCTGATGTGAAAATTTATTCTCCAGGTCACTACTGGCTAGGCCACAGGCACACCAAAAGTCTCAGAGATCAAAGAACTGCTACACATCTCCTATCCTCCAATCCCACCTCCAAAGGAACAATACTGACACCCAGCCTGGAAAATAGCAGTAAAGATTATTATAGAAACACATAGTACATATCACTCTCTGCTCCAGTTACTGAGTTTGGTAAAAAAGAAATCTTATTATTGGAATCAGCTGTTCAAGGTAAGCAATAGTTTCTCCCTCCAGATGAGTTATGGATGGAAAATGTCTGGACAAGCCTGAAGAGGCTGTTTACTTCTCTTGACACAGGATTTCAAGTCTGTGCTTTGTTTAAAGAAAACACTGGTATTTACATCAATGAATTTGAGTTGGAACAGTTAAAATATATCCTACATTTTCACCAATCAGTCCAAATATTATATTCATTCCACTCCTGAGAATTAAAAAGTAAACAGTAAATAACCCAGTTATCAATAAAACTTGATAACTCCTTGCTGGTTAACCCATAACAAGGATATTGAATGGCTAGTATAACCTTTTAATACTAAACAATTACATGCCTAAGACAAGACAGATAGTATTTTGGGTTATTTGCCAATGCTGAAATTGTCACTATGAGAATGAGAAAACAAGCTAAAACTTGCATATATGCAAAAAGAAAATAACCTTCAAATAAGGGTTATTTTTACAGATAAATGAAATTTTATACATCCAACTGAGATCTACTCTATCACAACCACATGCTGCTATCCAAACTGACTTGTAAACAAAAAACCCTAACAGACCACAAAACCAAACAACCAGCTACAGAAAACAATGAAAAAAACCCCACACCCTCCCACCAATGAAGACCTAAAAAACAATAACATCTGGCAAAAGCAGTAGTCCCTGTAGTCAAACTAGCCTGTTTAATTACATAAAAGAGCTTGACGATACTGAGAGTAAAAAAAAAAACAAACCATTTTTAAAGCTTAAATAAACATAAAGGCCTCATAATAGAAAGACATCAGTATATAAATATTCACATTACTTGGTAGTAGGTGGGAGATTTATTGTTTTACCGTTATACTCTGATGCTCAATCCTCAGCTTCTCCACTCCTGCACCATACAACTCCCTTAACAAACACATTATTCTTGTCTTTTTTCCAGCTCCTGATGGTCCATACACCAACAGATGAGGGAAGTCACCACACTGAACCTGAACACAAAGTGACAACATTAGTTGGCTGCATTACCCTTCTTTACAAAAGACTGTTCATCTTTCCAGTCTCACCCAAGTTTACACAAAATTACTTTTCCAGTTCAGTCACAGCATAGTACCTAAAATTAAAACTGCTGAATTCCTTTCCTGCAGCAATATTTCCTACAGAACATTATTTTTCTGAAGATCATATGTAACTCATTTAAATCCAAACACCTCACCCCTCAAAAAAGATAAAAAACAAAACTAACTCACAAACAGAACAAACCCAAAATAAGACAAAAAAAAAAAAAAAAAAAAAAACCAACAAAAAAAAAACCCTAGCATTTACATGCTTTCCAGGGTTTCTAGAGTGCCAGATGCAATAAGCAGACAGTAAAAAGGATTATAAGAAAGTTTAAAGCAGATATATGATACATATAACTACATATATATGCATATCTATCATATATGTAAAATTACTGTGATGTTGCCTTTGTAAGCCGTGAATATGTGCAAACAAGTAATAGCTATCCTGATATAAAGGATCCAACTTGAATAAAGTTAAGAGCTTGTTTCTTGAAAATGTAAAAAGCATGACCTGGAGGGCATCTGACCTAACAGTCCAAATTTATGTTAGTTAGATATAACAGTTATGGAGAAACACTCAATCCAGTGGTGTAGTAAAATCAGCACATCTGTCTATTAACATCCAAGGGACTACCTAGTCCTGACTTTTATTCCCAGCTGCTCACCTTAAAAGCTTCAGTTAACTTTAAAGCAAACTTAGCAAGCCCTGTTCCCAGAGTTACAGCTCATTCTCGGCTAAAGCCACCAGGACGCACAGATGCGCATCACTCTCGGAAAATTAAGAAAAAAAAAACCCAGCCCCTAATTTCCGCGCAGGCGTTTCCAGGCGCGCAGGCCCC